CTGTGTAAGTGTGTTTGTGTGTGTGTGTGTGTCAGTATGTCTGTATATGTGCGTGTGTGTGTGTGTGTGTCAGTATGTCTATCAGTGTATGTGCCTATGTGTGTGTGTCAGTATGTTTGTCATTGTATGTGCCTGTGTGTGTCAGTATGTCTATTAGTGTGCCTGTATCAGTATGTATATCAGTGTATGTGCCTGACACAAACACACACACACAAACACTGGAAGACATACTGACACACAGGCACATACACTGGCAGACATACTGACACACAGATACATACACTGATAGACATGCTGACACACATACATACACACTAATAGGCATACTGACACACAAACAGGCACATACACTGACAGACATACTGACACACACAGATACATACACTGTCAGACATACTGACACACACAGAGATACAGACACTGTCAAACATACTGACATACACACATACACTATCAGACATACTGACATACACAGACACACACAGACATACTGACACACACAGACATACTGACATACACAGACACATACACTGTCAGACATACTGACACACACACACACACTATCAAACATACTGACATACACAGACAAACTGTCAGACATACTGACACACAAACACACACAGACATACTGACACACACAGACACATACACTATCAGACATACTGACACACATACTGACACACACAGATACATGGACAGACAAACTGACATACATGTAAAATTTAAATTTTAAGCCCACCCTCCAGTTTCCTACCTTTTGCTGGAGGGTGGCATCCCTGGGATCCAGTGTGCTGCCTGAGGATGATGTGAGTGAGGAGCCCCCATCCTCACTGCCTCCTCCTCCCTCCCGTGCAGGTCCTTCTTCTCCTGCGCAGCAGCTCTTTATGGGAGGAAGTGACGCTCGGCACTCACTTCCTCCCAGCGCTGCCGAAAAGCAAGAGGCCCGGTCGCGCTGTTAAAGGGGCACCTAAAGCGGCCGGGAAACATTTTATTTTTTTAGGGCAGCGGGGCCCACGGGACAGCTGCCTTCGGCCCCCAGGAGTAATTGGGCCCGGGGCAGCTGCCCCGTGTTAAAGACGGCCCTGCAAACAATACATGTGCTTGGGGGGTAAAGGTTTCTTTAACTAATCTAGTGGAAGAGACTCGAGTGCTAAAATCCACGGGTTAGGGGGCGCAAATTACTTGCCTTGCCCCGGGTGCTGACAACCCACGCTACGCCACTGGGAGGGCCACATCTATATTGCTAAAAACGTAATATAGTAAAGATAACAATAGTGGCAATAATAACAAACACAGAAAGTCAGCCAGTTCTGTAATTTTGATATTTCAGCAGTTTAGTAGATGGCCCCCTAATCTGGTTTCCTGGTATGGTATTGCCGTGTATAAGGATACTAAATAAGGTAGCTATTTGACAGCTGAGAGTTCAAAATTAAGAAAACCTATTTTCTTCTAAATATACCTTTCCTCGTGTCCCTTTCTTTCCCCATGCATATCACATCTCTCCATGTGCCCTTGTCTATCAGTCTTTCCCTTCTCTAGCAGCAATCCCCTTATTTTCCTGGCATAGTTTTATCACCCCTTTAACATGGGTGTCCCTTTTTTCCCCTTCTCTTCCAGTGCCACCCTAATTTCCTCTCATCCCAGGGTTGGATTTACCCTCTCCTATCCTAAGGCCAGTTTCCTCAATTGACATCAGCAACCCTCATTTGGGAAGCCATACAATATCAGCTGAAAATTCCATTATCAAACGATATGATGGCCCATGCTTAGACTCTCTTAAAACTTTGTTCAATCATATTGGGTAATGATTTGAAAGTGAAAAGGAAAGTTAAACGAAATGGGAAGGAAAAGTAGGAACATTACCTTCACTAGGATCCTATTTTTGTAATACCGTATATACTCGAGTATAAGCCGAGTTTTTCAGCACACTTTTTGTGCTGAAAAACCCCAACTCGGCTTATACTCGAGTCACTGTCTGTATTATGGCAATTTACATTAATTTACATTGCTATAATACAGACTGGGGGCTGGCAGAGCTGTTACTTACCTCTCCTGCAGCTCCTGTCGGCTCTCTCCTCCTCCGCGCCGGTCCGGTCAGCACCTCGGTCAGCTCCCAGTGTAAGTCTCGCGAGAGCCGCGGGGTCATAGTGCGGCTCTCGCGAGACTTACAGTGTGAGCTGAGAGAAGAGCTGCACGGACCGGCGCGGAGGAGGAGGGAGCTGGCAGGAGCTGCAGGAGAGGTAAGTAACAGCTCTGCCAGCCCCTCTCCTCCCCCCACTGAACTGCCAATGCCACTGGACCACCAGGGAAGGAGAGCCCCCCTCCCTGCCATGTATCAAGCAGGGAGGGGGGACAACAAAATAAATAAATTAATAATAAATAATAAAAAATAATAATAAAAATAATAATAAACAATATAATATAACTAAAAAATGAACTAAAAACTAAATAAAATAATACATAAATAATAATAAAAAAATTATTAAAAAAATAATAATATAACAAAAAAAAATGTAAATAATAATATATTTTTTTTTTTTTATAAAAATGCCCACCCCCCACCAAGGCTCTGCAACACAAACACACACTGCACTCATACACACACTGCATCACACACACTGCACTCATACACACATACACTGCACTCATACACACTGCATTTATACACACACACTGCATTCATCATATACACACACTGTAAATAAATATTCAATTAATATAATTTTTTTAGGATCTAATTTTATTTAGAAATTTACCAGTAGCTGCTGCATTTCCCACCCTAGTCTTATACTCGAGTCAATAAGTTTTCCCAGTTTTTTGGGGTAAAATTAGGGGCCTCGGCTTATATTCGGGTCGGCTTATACTCAAGTATATACGGTAGATTGTTTTGAATGTTACGTTTTGTACTGTTTATGGTAAAAATTTAACTTTAGAATTAAAAGAAAATTTCTAAATATAAGGTTTCTTATAGCTCAAAACGGCTATATAATCTTATCTTTTAGTATATGGGCAGTGTTCTCATGAGGTTGATCCCACATGCTGAAGGTGTGGAGAGGTGCCAGGAACATATACTTCTGTATCTGGTGAAATTATCCTTTAACCCACAGGTTTTACCAAATGATCCACTGACTACACCATCAGATTTATTTACTAAAATGAGAATTTAAAGTGAATTTCAAATTTAAGTCCAGAGTAACCAAAGTAAAAGCATAGCTAGGATTTTTTTTCCCTCCAGTTCAGATACTTTGAATTCTCACTTTAGTAAATTAACATGTATATCAGTTATAAATATGGCTTGGACTATGTCCTACCTTTTCTGCAGTTTCTTTATACTCACTGGCACAGACGGGCTGGCTGTATCACCTTATGGAATACTGTGATGCATTTTTCCACACTTTTTATATAGGTATTTATAAGATTTTAAGTAACATAGTAAGGCTATTTATTTTTATTATTAAGAATCCCCCATTTCCTTGTACTCCCAGTTAAATTACTTTAGTTTATCATTTTCACACACTGCACTTCATACTCTGGAATCCCCATTCTCGTATTTATAGAATAGTTTACAGATGGCAGGTGGTTACACAGTTCCAAGCACCCAGAAGGACCCAGGTAAAAAAAATTCTATTGGAAGACAGCGCCCACCAACACCAAGCACCATAACCACTGCAAGTCTTTAGGTGGTATGGTGCTTCTAATATTCCTTTAAAGTTTAAACAATATGTAGGAAATAGTTTAGAAATGTTTAATTATTGCATGCTTACACTGTACTCATTTTCAAATAGGTGATAGGTCTCTGTTCAGTTTGTTTTGTTGCGTGTATGCTTATATACATTGTACAATACTATATATTTGTGTTATGTAAATACTTTTTCACTAATTTGTAATTAAAGGGACAGTCCAGATCCCTATATAACTAACTTGCTGAAAAGCTTTGTGTGAAATTTTTTTTTACATTTTGCAAAACATGCATATTTCTATTGAAATTGACAACTTTATAAATTAGCCTGGTTACACCCCCTTGGATTTTAAGCTCAGTGGAATCAAACTCAAGAAGCAGTAATTGCAATAGCTTCTCACTGAACTGCATGTGGAAGTCTGACAACCACAGAAAGCCTGGGTGGAATTAGAAGAGGAGAGTTTGCAAAGGCAGCAGACAAGAGAACTACAGCTTTTTCAAGCTTTTTTTAAAAAACTTTTTGGTATACCCTCAAATGGGGGGGAAAAAAAATGCAGAATTAAATGCATGCAAGTTTTCAGTTGGGATATATCTACTCAACAGTGATTTTTATTTTGGACTGTGGATTGTTCCTTTAAGACATCTCATGCGTGTGCTGTCTGCGCCTCTTGGCAAAAACTTTGTCCATTTCCCGGCACTGCAAGATGAAAACCAGAAAAGGGAGACAAACAATGCCACAACTTCAGCACACATTAAAAGGACAAGTATAGGCACCCAGACAAATTCAGCTCAATGAAGTTGTCTGGGTGCCAGATCCCTCTAGTTTTAACCCTGCAGCTGAAAACAGTTTCAGAGAAACAGCTATGTTTCACTGATGGTTAATCCAGCCTCTAGTGGCTGGATCACTGACAGCTGCTAGAGGCACTTCCGCGATTCTCACTGTGAAAAGTCAATTTAGTAATGCTTTCCTATGGACGATTTTAATGCATGCGACTCTTGACGCGCATTTGGATCTGACGGCGGCAGGGGGTGGAGAAAACAGTCGTCCGGCGCTGGAGAAAGGCAAGTGTCCCAGCAGGACAGGGGGAGCCTAATGACCCTATAGTGGCAGGAAAACAGGTTTGGTCATTTAAGTACAGATAGTATTATTCCGGTCTCTGGGGGCTACATAAGTTTGTTTGCATTACTGAGGTCCAGGTTTGTGTTAATGAAAATGGCTATCCAACATAAAGCTGAAAGAATCTGCAAAGATGCATTGCAAAAATTATTCTAATTGCTTCAGGCTGTAATTGCTGCCAAAGGTGCTTTAACCAAGTACCGAGTTAAGTGTCTGAATATTAATGTCAATGATTTCAGTTTCTCTCTTAAAGATATTTGCAATGTGAAAGGTTTTCACACAAATCCAAGTTTTGATTAAAGTTGTGTTCTTATAACCGAACAGTGTTAATCCTCTCAAGGGGGTGGTTATTGGTTAAAGGAACACAAACCTGTATTCCTGACCCTATAGTGTTAAAACCACCATCTAGCCCCCCTGGGCCCCTCATTGCCTCCCTAAATATAGCAACATCTTACATGTACTCAAGCCTGAAGCTGCTGGCTCTGCACTGTCTGCCTACATCATTAGAAGTGGTAGCCTGATCCAATCACAGTGCTTCTCCATAGGATTGGCTGAGACTGACAGGAGGCATATCAGGTGCAGAGCCAGCACAATTAAAAAACAGCCCAGACCAATCATCATATCTTCATAGAGATTAATTGAATCAATGCATCTCTATGATGACAGTTCAGTGTCTGTATGCAGAGGGTGGAGACACTGAATGTTTGGATGCATTTTAGGCAGCCATGACCCAGGAAGGATTTCTAACAGCCATCTAAAGAGTGGCAAGTGAAGACTATAGTGACCCTTTAACGATTTTCAACAAAAACAAAAAGTGAAGTCCTATAATTTCAACTCTCATTTGGTTTTAAATAAAATTGAACTGTACTTGAAAGCATTACTGACCATTTGTCTTACGTGTTACTACAGGGATATGATTTTAGCTATATTAACAGTACAAACTAAATTTTGAACTGGGTTCAATTTTAATAGCAGTCTGGAATGGTCAGAACGGCTTCTAGGACTTCGGATTATTCACTAGAGTGAACTCAGGGAACATTTCAAATTTTAGGTCAGAAAAAAAAATACCGTACTTATTTGCTGATCAACACTGAAATCTTATAAGTAAAAATTTTAATATTAAAGAAATCTGCAAATGAGCATATTTGCTTGACAACTGTCTACAACATCCTTGGTTTTAAATTTTATTTTTATATGCAGTTGAAAGGCACAGAAGGAGCAGTTAGTGGAAGGAGATGGCTTCTAACAACATGAGAAAGTTACACGTTTGTCCAGCGAAGATTTTGATTGTAACGGGACAATTGTCTCATCCATGCTTGCCTTATGAGAGAAAGACATGACACTTGCATATTTAGACAAAATTCTTTCAGGGTTAGTTATTAAAGTGAGAATTTAAAAATTTATGTTTAAAATAGCCAAATAAGAAAATCCAGCAATGCTTTCAGTTCAGCCTTAAAGGAACACTAGCATTATTAAAATAAAAATGTATTCCTAACACTAGACAATGATTTTGATTAAATTCCCCAATGAAAGAGCACTTTACTCACCTTATTTCCTCCAGCCTCAATGCAATTGCCCTGCCTCCCCTGACAGATCGATCCTGATGATTACAGTCAAATCTATGCTCTACTGATCAGTGTTTAATTATTAAACGTACAGGTCAACTAATTTTAACACAGGATGCAAATGTGTGTTCTGTTGCAAATTAACTTTATGAAGTGTTTCAATAATAACTGGGATGTCCACAAGGTAATCGTCACCAATTTAGACTTAATGAGTAGATTAAATGGGCCACGTCTCCTAGGTTTGAGTGAACTGTACATATCCACAGCAAGCATACCAAAAAGATTAAAACAAAATAAAATTGTTTTCACCTCATTTATTTTAATTTCCATTGTAATCCAATTAAAAAAAAAAAAAATTAAAAAAAAAAAAAGCTAGATACAAATTTAAACCAGGTAAGCACTAGTATTAGCCAAAGGGAGCAGGCCTATATACGTAATCGTAAAAAGGTACTGAAAGCTTTTCAGCAAAGCTTTCTCAAAAAACAGTAGTCAACCTTGTTTTCATTGCACAAAATAAAAATATTCTCTGAACCAACTTTTTCACACTTTAACCTTCTTTTACAGTTTGCAACTGCTTAATAACTTATCAGAAACCCACCATGGGTTTCTTATCTTAGAAACATTACTCTTTTTTCTTTAAACAAGTAATATCTGCACAATTCACCACCAGGTGTGTCTTGATTCCTCTAGAAACATTGTTTCTGCATTGACCAAGTATTTAACTTGTATGTAAAATATTAGCTAGGCAGACTCCTAGGCCATATGAGCATTAATGTACTTGCAGATTTATTTTGTACTGAAAGGTACGCAGCAAATGGGAGGAGAGATATAAAAAAAAAAAAGTAACAACCATAAGATGCCATTACACTCTCAGCCCTACAAAATGAATTATGACATGAATGCAAATGCTGAACAAACAGGATTTCTTCTCAAATATCTGTCCCAATCCTACCTTCATTTTACTGCAGCAAAATCATTTGCATCATTTAAATGATTCATATAGTGCTTTTGTTTTCTGGTAGAGCAAGAAAGCTTTCACACCTGATACATTCATGTTTTACCCCCTGCCCTCAATACTGTTGACTAACACTCTAAAAAATGTTAGGGGTATGACCAGTGCAAATGGGAAGATCACCAAATAAATAGTACCTTGTGCTTCCTGATACATTTGATTCAGTGTCCCATCATTTCACATTTTTGAAGAGGCTAAAGCAAAGATGTTGCAAACATCTTCTCTTTACAATGTCCATACAGAAAAGAATGGAGGAGAAAAAAAAAAAATGAAGAGGGGGGGGAACCAAAAAAAAAAACAAAACAAACAAAAACAAAAAAAACCGAACTCCTGCGCCTCAAAAAAAATGTTCTGATACAAAATAAGGAAAACAAATATCCAGCATGAAGGTTCACAACGTACAAGTGTTCTGAGCATAAGTCCATATTCTTCTGGAATTTGAAGAAAAAATTTCTGCCAACATCTGATCTTCCCTGTTTGACTGGTCAATGCCTTACTCAGGCATATAAGGGCAGAGGTGATCCTCTATGGTGCCAACCGCCCAATGGGTGAGCTGTTCCTGTGGTAGGTACAGGCAGATGCTGCATAACTTGAATATTGTGGTTTTGCTTTTAGGAGTCTAAAAAAAATAAACAAATGAAAATAGTTCCGATTAGCATGCAATGGATTAACAGAAGCTTTCTGTGTTTGTGTTGCATGTTGCATAACAAGTCACTCTTATGCCAATTGTAACTAGATTACTGGACCAGAATAGCCAAGAAGAGGAGTCGATAACATGATTTCAAATTACCTGCAAATGCTGTCTATCAATAAAGAGGAACACTGACTGGTTTGGATTGTTTATAACAATTCCAGTCTTGTCCTTCCGGCTCAGTGCGTGCATAAGATGTTTTTCATAATCACCATGATTAAATTCAAACTTGGCCTGAAATGTAATGGCAAAGTTATTAATCACTACAATCAGAACATTTTACACATATTTCTACATATCTTCCCACACTAAATTCAAAGAATGAGAAACGGTTACTGTGAATTCCTGACTTAACACTTTGAGGCAGGATTGTTTACTAAAGTGGCTACTTTGGTGTACATTTTAGAATTCACTTTTACAGTCAAGCTAAAAACCAGCACAAAAGATTTATGTTGGCACATTTTGGACTACAAAAAGTTTTAAATTCTTGACAATTTACATTTTAGTAAACAACCATGACAGTTATTCCTGATAGAATATAAGTCTCTTGCTGGGTGGTGTACCTAAAAATGTAATTAAAAAACCCCACACAAAACAAAAAATAAATATACACACACACTTTTAATTAATTAAGTCACAAGAAAAAGTTGCCTATTTAAAGGGAAATTCATTGTAATAAAATGCATATAGTATTTCAGAAGTATGCATTTAGTACAACTTGAAAAAATATTTTCAATTTCTGAGTCTTACAAGTTACCTTTCATTATCTGCAGAAAAATGCATAACCATTAGGTTAATATTTAATTAACTTTAGGTTTTGCAAAAAAGTTATCCTGCAATCATCTTTAGTCTTGTTTTTTGCTTTCAATCTTCTCCACATCATGTGGGAACAGAGTTTCGCTACAGCTCACACAGATTAAAACAAGACTTATATAACTGGTTTACCTGGTCCTTCCACTTATTTGGCATAGGTGATTTAAAAAAAAAAAAAAAATATATATACATATACACACACACACACACACACACACCCCTTAAGCCATTGTGTGTAATATGTAGTTCTGATGAAACTGAATGTGTGCACTTACTAAATTTATACCAAGTATGGTAGGCATTCAGCTCTGTGCATAATTTTAGTCAAATTGGAATTTATATTGCATAAAAAAAAAAAAAAAAGTGTATATATAATTTTTTTTTTTTAAATGCAATGTAGATTCCAATTTGACTAAACCAAATTATGCGCTCAGCATGAAGATGACTGCAGGATGACTTTTTGCAAAACCTAAAAGTTTATTAGTTATGCATTTTTCGACCATTTAAGCACAAACTATTTTTCCTGTAGATAATGAAAGATAGCTTGTAAGGCTTAGAAACAGAAAATATTTTTACAAGTTATATTAAATCTATACTTTTAAAAATGTATATGCATTACAATGAATTTCTCTTTAAATATGCAACTCTTGTGGATTTTTAAAAAAAGCCAAAAAAAAAAAAACCTATACAGATCACAAATCTACAAGAATCTTTTATGTACCTTACTCTCTACTAGAAGATAAACAGTCTAACGTGGGTGAAATGGGGAAAACAAAACACTCCACCTTAAGGTAAAGCTAGCATTCTAAAAAAAACTAGAGACTTACCAGAACAGGCCTAAAGGGCTCATCAGATCCCTTCCACCTAGAGAATAGAAGACAGACAATCTTCTCAATGTCATTCCTAGGCCACAGAATAAAGTCCATCTCCTGAGTGCATCCAATTACATCCTAAAAACAAGAAAAGGTTAGTTATATTTTGAGCAAAAACAGCCATGTTTACTTTCTGTATGTGCTTAGGCTTATACAGAAGCAGTACTCATTAACTTCTGAAATACATCTTAAAAACATACTATATAGAAAAACACTATTTGTTCAGATTTACATGTAATGCTATTGTTTCCGTTTTACTTAAAGCCCTTTTCCCTTTTTATTTGCAACAATGTATGTCGGTTTATTTTATGTCATTTCAGATACCTTAAAGGAGCACAATAGGGTCAGGAACACAAACATGTATTCCTGACCCTATAGGATTAAAACCACCACCTAGCCCCCCTCATGTCTCCCTAAATATAGTAAAAATCTTACTTGCATTCAAACCTGAAGCTGCTGGCTTTGTCCCCGTTTCCTTTAGACCTGCCCATTACCTGCTGGCATCAGCAGAAGTGGTAGCCTGATCCAATCACAATGCTTCACCATAGGACTGGCTGAGACTGAGAGGCAGCGCCAGCACAACTCAAAACACAGCCCTGGCCAATCAACATCTCCTTATAGAGATGAATTGAATCAATGAATCTATATGAGAAAAGTTCAGTGTCTGCATGCAGGATTTCTAACAGCCATCTAAAGAATGGCCAGTGAAGTTAACACTAGGCTATAATGTAAACACTGCATTTTCAGCAAAAAGCCTGAAGGTAATGATTCTACTCACCAGAACAAATTCAATAAGCTGTAGTTGTTCTGGTGACTATATAGTGTCCCTTTAAAAAGACAATCCACTGCAAGAAAAAAAAACACCACACACTCTCTCCCCAATTGGAGGTATATCTAAAACAGCCAAAAGGTACCGTCTACAGCCTTTGCAAGCACTCACTTATCACCTAGCCCAGATGGACTGTAGCTGCACATAACAGATATCCCAATGCAGCTCAATGACAAGTCTTTACAAGGCAATTGCCTGCCTTTTGAGTTTAGCTCCAATGAGCTAACCAAACCAGGAAGTAATAAGACTGATTGTCTGACAGCCAGAGTACTGCAACAAGGTTCATTTATAAAACTTACAATGTCTATTGACATCTGCACTTTGTAACATATACACACACACCTCCACTAACATGCAGTGAGAAAAAAATAAAATACATAATTGAATGCATTCTTTCATTGAAGAGATATAGATAGATACACACACAGAATAGACAGTGAAAGTTTTTTTTTTTTTATTAAGTCTGTACAGTGGAATTACTTTTTTTTTTATGAATATAATTTTTATTTATTCTCATGTTACTTATGCGGAGATCGGAGACTCGCAGGTCTCTAAGGTGAGTAGTCATAATTTTTCCTTGAAAACAACAATGTATGTTTGGGCTCGCAGGCCCACAATGTTGACGGACTTGCAAGTCCCTATTTTCCAGGTTCACAAGCACCTTCAATTACATCTTACCATCTGTCATTTGTTTTCCTAATTGGGTTTTGTTTACATGGTTTATACGTTTCATGTATAGTAGCCGGTGGTCTCCTTATGTTTGTGTTGAGGTTCGCAGACCTCGTATGCAGCCTTTATTGTTAGGTGTCGTTCAGGTTCCTAAATTTAGTGTTGGGCTCTATGCCTGTAGCAGATTAATGTGAGTCTCCCCTTAGTGTCCCTGGTGTCCTGTATCCAGGGTACAATGTACCTGTGTTGAGAGGGTTATGACTCATATTTCGGGGGGGTTTGAACGTGGTTCATTGCTGCCCTCAGGCTATGTTGTGGTTATCCCGTCTGCTCGGTCTATGTTTCATTAGGGTCGTGTCTCTTGGAGTTTATGAGTTGTGTGTGAACCCGTATGGGTTTTCCGTTCAGGGCCCTAGTGTCTCCTCTATATGAAATAATTTCTGCTTTGATTGGGGTATCGTCCTGTGTGGGTCTTTAGGAGAGAGGGGGTGGGAAAGGTCGGGGTTAGGGTGAGGAGGGGGGTGTCTGTAGTCGTTGTCTCCGTCGTCTGTCGTCTAGTGGGTGTTCTAAGCCTAACTCTCCGTGGTTTGGCGTACGTCTGTTCCGAGTTCCATTTGGAAGCCTTCCTTCGCTGTCTCTAGGATCCAATATGTCCAAATGTCCGTGTAGGTCTTTGTGGTCACGTTAGTCGTCATGGTCAGTTCTTCTGTTATTCTGAGTTCCTCCATTTGGCTGAACCAAGTCTTAAGTGGAGGTGTTATGTTCTGTTTCCAGTATTGAGGAATTACCCGTTTGGCTATATTGAGTATTCGGATGGTCATGGATCGTTTGTACTTAGAGTGTGGTGTAGGAGTGTGGTGTAGGAGCATTGCTGCTGGTTCCAAGGGGGGTGGTTCGTCCGTGAATTTCTCGAGCATTCTGTGTATGTTTTGCCAGTATGGTTTAATTTTTGTGCAGTCCCACCAGATGTGTTTCATGTCTCCCTCTTCTCGTTGACATCTCCAGCATAGGCCAGATTGATCTGGGTTTATCTGATGTAGGAGGTGTGGTGTCCTGTACCAGTGGGTTAGTAATTTGTAGGCTGTCTCTTGTGTTTTACTGTGTGTGGAGCAGTGGTGTGTGAGGTAGCAGATGGATTCCCATTCTGTGCCTGTCAATGTGTGTCCCAGGGCTTTCTCCCATTTCCCCATAAATACAGGTGTCTCAGTTGGGATGTCTGTTTGCAACACGGTGTATAGGAAGGACACTCCGTGTGGGAGCGGGTCTGGGTGCATGCATATCACCTCTATTGTGGTATGTTCTCTAGTGAGTGCTGAGCCCTGTGGTAGGGTGTGGATGTAGTTGGTTAGTTGGGAATATCGAAAGTTGTGCATGAAAGTCGGGGGTACGTCTCCCATCATGTCCGGAAGCTTTTTGCATTTCCCGTCTTGCATGACGTGATGTAAGCATGGGTGTGTGTCTGGAAGGATGCCTCTAAAGGCCCTCGGGTCTAGCCCCGGGGGGAAGTCTTTGTTAAACGTCAATGGAAGGAGGGGAGAGGGGTATGGCGATATGTTTCCCTTCACCGCTACTCTTCTCCATATTTTTAGGGTGTGTTTGGTGTAGATGGACATTTCGTCCCAGTTCGTCGCGTTTCGGTCCCATGGCAGTCCCGAGATTGGTCTACCCGCCTCCGTCTCCTCCACCGTCTTCCACAGTTTGTGTACCCTGTCTTTTGTCCACTCTACAACTCTCTGTAGGTGTGTGGCCACATAGTATAGGTGGAAGTCTGGGAGGGCTAAGCCTCCTTTATCTTTAGGTCGCGCCAGGATAGTGAATTTCACCCTTGGTTTCCCCCCATTCCATACGTATTTTATCATCTCTGTTCTAAGGGTTTTAAAAAAGGGGCTCGGGAGCTCAATGGGGATGGCTTGGAGGAGATAGAGGAGGCGTGGTAAGAAGTTCATTTTTATTACTTGTACCCTCCCCAGCCAGGAGATGTGAGGATGTGCCCATTCCCGCATGTCTTTTTGAAATGTCTGTAGTGTGTTTGTAAAGTTTTCCTTAAGCATGTCCCCACTCTGCCTAGTCAACCAGACTCCCAAGTATCGGATCTTGTGCTCGGCCCACTGGAAGGGGAAGCTATGTCGAAGGGAGTTTACCCGTGTGGTAGGGATGCTAATATTAAGAATGAACGATTTACTGTTATTGATCTTCAGGTTGGATATTTCTCCATATATCTGTAGGTCTTTCTGGATGTTTGGGAGGGAGATTTCAGGGTTGGTTATGATGAAGAGTAAATCGTCCGCATAGGCGGCCACTTTGTGATGTGTGGTGTCTGTCGTTAAGCCAGTTATGTCTGTGTTGTTTCGAATGTGTGTAAGGAATGGTTCGAGGGCAAGGACGAACAGTAGTGGCGAGAGGGGGCATCCCTGCCTCGTGCCATTGTGTATTTGGAAGGCGTCTGTCAGTGCCCCATTTACCAGCACTTGGGCTGTTGGTTCTCGATATAGTGCCTCTATCCATTGTCTCATGTGCGGTCCTAATCCTACATGGGCCAGTGTTTCGAAGAGGTATGTCCAGTTTACTCTGTCGAAGGCCTTCTCTGCGTCCGTTGACAGCAGAAGAAGACCCGTTTTCATACTCTCTTTCCCGTGCATGAGAGTGAGCGCTCTGATGGTATTGTCTCGGGCTTCTCTACCTGTCACGAACCCTACCTGGTCTGGGTGGACCAGTGAAGGGATATGTTTTGTAAGTCGAGTTGCAAGGATTTTGGCCAGTAGTTTAATGTCGCAATTTATTAGTGATATCGGTCTGTAGTTTCCGCATTGTTCCCTATCTTTGCCGTCCTTGGGGATAATAGTGATGTGGGCTGTTAGGGCTTGTCTGGGGATGTGATTCCCTTCTCGTATCGCGTTGAACGCCTCTACCATGGGTGGGTATAAGTCTTCGGCATATGTTTTGTAGTATTTGATCGGCAGACCGTCTGGTCCTGGGCTTTTGCCTGGTTTGGTTAGCTTAATCGCTAGTGCTAATTCTTCTATTGTGATTGGTTCGTCTATTAGTTCTGCTGTTTCTGGGTCTAGTGACGGTGTCTGATATTTCGTCAGGTAGTCGCGAATAGTGGCCCTGAGGCGCGTTGTCGCCGTATCAGTTTTTGGTTGAGGGAGTGCGTATAGTTCTGTGTAGTATGTACGTATTGTTTTCATGATATCTGTCGGGAGTCGGTGTAAGGTCCCCTGTTTGTCTCTAATCTTGTCGATGTATGTGTGTTGTCTCTGTTTCCTCAGCATTGCGGCTAAGAGTCTGCCGCTTTTGTTCCCATGTAATGTAAAAAAGGCTTTGTGTCTGGTTGCGTCTCTGTGGTGTTTAGAGTGGAATTACTTTTTAACCCTCTGATTATAATGTATCTCTCAAGTGGTTTTAAATACAGTATTTTCTTTGCCAGCAGGGATAGCGTGAATAGCAAAATCGCAGGAAATGTAAAAGTATAAACAGTAGGTAATGCGGGGAACACATGGTCAAGAGGATTAAAGACTTCGAATTGAGCTAGTGAGGCAGTCTGTGGACATGGGGGGGAAAGGCAGGCGTGTTCTAGCAAAGCACAAAATCACTTCTGTTCACCTTCCTGGCTGTCAGGTGTGTGTGTGTAATGATTTACAAGAGTACCAATTTCAAATAGCACTAGAATTAAATGAGCAAGATAAAGTGCCTTGAGTGTTCCTTAAAGGGAAGTAACTAGAGTGCCCTGCAGTAGTTATGGAGCTTGTAGTTTTCCCTTAGACACATCTCCACATATACACATTGTAGAGAGTTTTTGGATGAGGGGGATTATATACACAATGTAATTATTTTTGTAATGCATCCTGTATAGCAGTGCAACAGTAATTTGACAGTTCATCCTAAATGCTGCTGCAAGCACGATTTTTGAATTGTTCTTACCCTGCGCATGGACTGGTAGCGCGGTGCATGAAGCTGTACTATGTCCTTCTGCAGAAGCTCAAGGGAACTTTCCAATGAATAGCTGGAATCCCGCACACCTTTCAGAATGTTTTCTTCATAATTATTGGTCATAACCGGTATCACGTCAGCTACTTCAAACAGAGCTGACTTTTTCTTCTAGAGAAATGTAAATTTAGCATAGGTAAACCAGTTAGATATAACTTCTACTAAAAGTTGGTAAGTATATATACATATCTGAGAATTTAAATGCATTTATGCCAAAACATAAAACAGTAACTGTGAAAATAAGATGGAATTGCAAAATAAAAACCCCTTAGTCATTGTACATACACAAAACTAAAGTCACAGAGGAAAATATAAATCCCCCAAAATGATCAATTTCCCCTGCCAGAAATAATTGTTTTCTAATGTGAGCTTGCTAGATTACCGCTTTCTATACAGGAAGATTAACACAGCCAGCACTCCTTCCCCCATATTTTTGAGTCCTGTCCCACAAACCCAATTTAGTTTCATTAGATGCACTCTAACTGTGCACAAGCACCAGGACCATGTCGAGAGCTTCAACAGAGCTCTATGGTCGTGCAGGTTGGGGACTGGCCAGACTTTCCCCTTTAGTACCTCAGAGGGCAGAATAGACAGTGACATCACTGGCAACACCAGTCATGCGTGTCCACCCAATTTGCATCCTCCCAATATTAGAAAGTATAATTAACAAAGAAAATGATTTAAAAAAAAAAAAAAGTCTGCTTTGCAGAGCATGACATAGCAAAACAAAAGATAGCAGACGACTCAAGAAGGGTGTAATTGTGAAGTTTGAGAGGTAAAGAGCCTCTTAAATTTCAGCAATTAAACCTTACAGGAATACTATTGTACAAAGCTGTATTTCCAACGGTAGTGTCCTTGTCACTACTCTTTTTCAGGTGCCCCATGCATTAAAATGTTATCAAGATTCACTCACTTTTTCCAGCATCAGGGCTCCTTAAGTGCTTACACCTATCTCTCTTCTGTAACCCCACAGAGGAGTTAAGGTCCAAACCAATTCTCCGCAATACATTCATATGGGGATTCTACGTACGCAGAGCATGAGGACATCCAGTGTCAGACAACCAAAGTCGCAAAGCAAGCAGGAAGTGCCCCTAATGGCCGTCTGACAGCCACTAGGGGTAGTCTTAACGCTACAATGTTATCATTGCAGTTTATCAGAAACTGCAATAATGAACACTGCAGAGTTAAAGGGACAGGGACATTGCACCCAGACCACTTCAATAAAATTAGTTGGTCTGGGTGCATATAGAGCCCGTTTAACCCCTTAAGGACCAAACTTCTGGAATAAAAGGGAAGATGTCACACATGCCATGTGTCCTTAAGGGGTTAAAGCAGGGGTTCTCAACGTTAGTCCTCAGGACCCCCTACCAGTCCAGGGATTACCTGGGTGTGTCTAAGGTGTTTAGAAAAAGAAAAAAAAGACACCTTAGAGTCAAAGGTGTTTTTTTTCTCCCCTTTTTCAAAACACCTTAGACACACCCAGGTAATCCCCAAATCCTGGACTGGTAGGGGGTCCCGAGGACTGAGTTGAGAACCCCTGGAGTAAAAAGGTAGCTTTACTTACAAAGTCATTGCAGCGGCTGGCCTCGCCTCCATAGGAAAGCATTGGATTGGCAGATATCGACCCTGGCCAGTCAGCATCTGGAAAGCTCACCATCAAGCTGAATGTCAGTGCAGCACTGACCCAGGAAGTACCTCTATTAGCCATCTGAGTGCCCACTAGAGGAGTTTGTAAGCTGTAATGTAAACCCTGCCTTTTCTCTAATAAGGCAGCGTTCACATTAGAAAAGACTGCAGGGACTGACTATACTCACTAGAACAACTATATGAAAGCGGTGTTCGAGGGACTAGTAGTGTCCCTTAAAAAAAAAAAACCACACCCTCCTAGTTGGGAAGCATTTATATAAAGACCAATTTCTTGATGCTTTTATACTTACCATGTTCCAATGACAAATCTATGCCCATTACTTTGAACAGAACTCGGCTATTGTTATATCACGAGTAAACGGTGCCATGTAAGTTTCACTAATTTTAAGTAAATGTAATGTTACTTTACGGATCCTGCATGCACTGCTGCTTATTTTGTTGGTCCTTTCTATTGAAAGATACTCTTAAATATTTGCAAAAAAAAAAAAAGTTAACTTGATTGTAGTGGTGGTCAAAGCCACAGGGAGGTCCACAGGCTTCTCATAGAGATTCCTTCCTACATTAACACTTCAAAAAGCAGAAGTGGTCATTGGAGTAACCTAGACTGTGGATCATCAACGTCAAACATATTGAGGCACAGTAGCAAGGGACAGCACCAGAACCATGTGTGTTTAAGGTACCCATTTTATATCTTGCTTTTCAAGAAAAAACTGACAATTTGAGTTCTGACCTGAGGTCCAATGGGCACCGCTCCCAGCAACCAAGAGTGAGAAGATACTACTAGCAGCTTCTGTTAGCTCTTCAGAATTAAGTCATGCAGTACCAGCTCAAAGGCTGAGAACAGACTGCTTTAAAAAAAAAACAATGGAGACACTCCTGGCACCATAATCACAGTGCATGAGGTTTTCCTTTGAAAAAAAAAAGCAGTCTACATAAAAACACTCAAACCTGATTCTGACATTGAAGAGCAGAGTTCAAAACTGATTAACCAATGCAATAAGATGGTTTATGGCACTGTTACAGAGTCTGTAAATGATTTTTTTTTTTTTATCCGTTTAAAACCAGTGTTATGGTTAATCATTGTGAAACTGATCTCCAAACCTTTAGCATGACATACAGCAACCTGCAAAAATTCCTCTAATCCTTAACATTGAAAGCGTTTGTTAAAAAGTTTTTCTTAGAAGTTTACAGAAGAGTTAAAACCAGTTTGCCAAGAATACTTTGTGGGGTGGGTGGGATAAATATGTGTGTAAACAGGTGTCACAATAAGCAAATTCAAGAAGTAACTTCACATTTCTTTACTTTTTAGAAATGCAGTAGTCTGCACAGTCAATACATTAGAAATATAGCAAAACAAAAATGCTTTTGCTGCTGAATCAAGATTTTGGATATTCATACATTACCTTGTCTTTGAAAACAAAGGCGATATACATCTTGAAGTCAAACTGGTCAGCTAGAGATTCTTTCTTCTTTCGTAACTGAGAACGCAGTCTGTTCAGAGCCTGTTTCTTGCGAGAGTTTGGGTCCCCCATTTTGCAACACAGCTGGTGCGAAGGCCTAAGTAGCCTGTCACTAATTCTGGGTATTTTTGCGTTGCTTTAGACACCAGTTTAACAAATACAAGCCATCTGACCCCCTTTAAGTGAATTAACAGGTCAACGAAACCCAAAGCGCTAGTTAGGCAATGTGTGACAAGCCTGTGTTATTACCAGGATTAACAAACACATAGGGCTGCACAACCATAGCTCTGTCTGATGAAAAGTAAAGAGGCATTTTTAATTTGAAAAAAAACAAAAAACTACAAAAAGAAATTGAAACACATCTTAAAATGCCAGGGGCACAATGATGGAAAAATAAAGCCGTTCCCTGTTATTAGCCTGTACCATAAAATCAAAAGCCATCCTCTGATGGCATTTTATTTAAACCTCCCAGCTCATAGAAAGAAAAAAATAAAACCAGAAGATAAGCCAGACCCAAGGCTGCATTATATATTATATTTAAAGGATGCCAAATTTACTCTAGGCAAGACTTTCCCCCTTTTCTACAGGTTTTTTTTTTGTGTGCAAAAAATAAAATAAAAAAAATATATATTATTTTCCTGTGTAATACGTGGGAGAGGGTTGTTCACAGCACAAGTAAAGTTGCCTCGCCATACCAGGGATGAGGACAGAGAGGCCCATGTGAGAGTGCCAGTGGCAGCCCCTGGGGAGGGACGCCATGTTGCCCTAGGCAAGAAGCAAGGGGGAGGGGGCTCAGTGAGTGCTCGCTAGGCCTCAGTCAGTCAGTCAGCCTACTGTTCGACCTCCCTAATCTGAGGGCATGGTCAGCGGTGAGGGGTCATGGCCATGTCGCGATAGTGGGCGACAGACTAATAAATGTAGGCCGGCCGGAGGGGGCCGGGTGGCGCCTGCTGGGTGTCCTGGGCCGGTGGCTGTGTGAGGGAGAGGGGGCACGGCTGGGCTAGGTGGGGTGTCTCTGGTGTCCTATCCGCGCCGGCCGCCTGTCATGTCTGGGCGCCGTGTGTCTGAGCGGGCTGTCGGTCTCTGCTGGGGGAGGAGGCTGGCGGTGCTGAGGGTGAGAGCTCCGGGGGGATCCATGTCAAGAAATGAGCAGGGCCCCCAACGGACCCCGCTGCATGAGAGCGGCACTGCTCAGAGGGCTGCGCACCCTGCTACACCCCGACCCACCCATAGTCCGAACCGGGGCCGCGCTGGGACAAGGAACGAGGTGCGGCTCGGGGACTCAGCGTCGGTCTATCGGGTCACTCGGCGAGGAGGAGGGCGCTCGCACAGCCTGGCAGGCGGCGGGAGGGGAAACGTCCTCGCGGCCCAGCTACAACAGACAAACAACGGGCAGACACACAGGAATAAGATGGCCGTCACTGCGTCACCGCCTGACTACTCCCGCCCGGGATTCCGCGGCTTCTTCCATGTCTGGGAGAGAGGGGGGACGAGTGGTTTTAGTCAGGGATGATTAGCACTTCTTTCACACCGACGCTAAAGTAGATGGGCTGGACTGAGTGTTTATCTACGTGAATAGCTCTTTGGGAAACCAAAAACATCGAGGGTAGCAGAAGGAGACAATATTTGCATCTTATCAGTCTCCGCGCACCCCTCCTTCGCTAATGGTTTCGACCAATCAGTCAGCCTCTCGTTCTTGGCTTCGGACGCATGGTGACGCCACGCGCATTGTTCGGAGAGTACATAGAGTTCTACGTTCTAAAGAGAACTCTGTCGCCTGGCAGTTATGCACAAAACGTCACTGAAATGTGAGCGTCAGCAGTTTGCCCACACACCAGATCATGCAGAGAGCTTAGCTACGTAATGGGCTTCACAAAAATGGAGACACGAAGAGCGACTAGTTTATTTCCTAGGTTTAGCGCTCCCATAGTTAAAGCAACTTGCGCATTTTTTTTCTTTTGTACTAGAAAACTTTATTGAAATCATAGTGTAGCTGTAGCAAGAGCTAGATTTCTTGTCGAAATAAATAAAATAAAGCTTTGGGAATATGAGATTACAGGCTTTGTTACACGATGTTCCCATGTGCCTAATATCAATTGTGGACAAAAATTACGCACCGGGGAGAGATATAATCAGCTTCTCCCTTACAGGCAGTGCATTGGCAAGGGAAAGCTTGCTCTTCCCTCCATCCCAACTCCCTTCATATCTGATGTTTTGTTGTTTTTTTTATAACAGCGCATTTTTGACAGTGCAATAAGATCCACAATGAATATCGCTACTCTGTATATTGTCTCTGAGCCTCGCATGTGACACAGCGAAGTAAACATTTTGTTTTTAATTATTATTACTTTCTTTCTATTTCATTTAGTATCTTCTAGTTTATTTTCTTCCATTATTTTCCATTTCTTTTTATTTTTTTCGATTGACTTTTTCCAGTTTTTCCTATATTTTCTTCTTTTTTTTCTGTTTTACATTTTCTTCAGTTTTTCCTATACTTTTTTCTTATTTTTTCTGTGCTTCTACATTTTCTTTTCAGTTTTTCCTGTATTTTTTCCCCCCAGTTTTTATTTTTGTTTAAATTTGACAATTTTTATTGTTCAGTTTAACAGTTATGACAAACAGTACATTGCCTTTGGTTTTACCGTTGTTACAATTAAGCATTCCTGGCTAATCATGGCAGCATCACTTATGGGTAGCTCCGCCACAATCAGGAACAAGACAGGAAAAAAAGGTTCAATTAATCTGGACCAGACTGGGGTATAAAAGGTCCCTCCTCCTTCCATCCCACAGTCTTTCTTCCTGTCCTTTCAGGACAAACAGGGAAAAAAAAAATTTTTGGCCCACCTTCCCATGTGTACCATGGGCTTTCCAGATGAAGTTCAGCCTCTCTTCATCTGAAGAACAGCCTGTACAGGCAGGACTAACTGAGTTTGGTACAGATTAGCATCTGTACTGCTTTGTGGGATAATTGTAGATTATGCTAACGTAGTGTACCTATAATCTTAATTTTAATAATGACAGGAGGCGAGTATTTTGCATGACTTTCTTTACTCATGCCTCCAGCAGCACAAGTCAATCAATAAACTTTTAACCAATCATAAAAGAGTACATAAACATATATAAGGCTCTGATTGTCACATGACTTCCTCTTTCTTTGAATTGCTATCAGTCCACGTAACGTCAGTAGCTAATTTAAGTTCTTAACGATATAGTGTTTCAAACTTGTTCTCTGGAAAGTCCAACTTCCATAAAATCCAACTCCAAATGGTTAACGCATAATGAACTGAAACTTGATCCGTAAGATCCATTATCCGGCTTGTCTTCTTCTGTGCCAGAAGCGGCAATCACACTGAAAGAAATAGAAACGAGTGTAAGAGGCTGGAAATAGGCTGATGTCTATATAATATCATTGACACTATCTCTATCCATATCTTATATCAAAAGAAATAAGCTAACTCCATATAACTAGCATTCTAATCTACTATCGACAAATCCTTGTCTATTACCTCAAACATCCCATACATATCTTCTAGATAAACTATGCAGGTTACAATTAGAAGCAATACAAAAGGTGACATATAAGAGAACCAGAGTATGGGAGGAGAGGGAGGGAAAATACTCGCCTCCTGTCATTATTAAAATTAAGATTATAGGTACACTATGTTAGCATAATCTACAATTTTATTACATGACAGGAGGCTTCCTATTTTGCATTTTTAAAGCTGAGGTAATAGCGAGAAAGCTGCGTGTGTGTTCTGACGAAAATAAAATAAACGAAAGGTATCCTCCCGTGTCCAGTCTGCGGAACGTAGAATATCTGCTAAAGACGCTCCCGCCGAGAACGCTCTTGAGGCGGCCGCGCCCCTAACCGAGTGAGCCCCAAACACGTCTCCACTCCTGCTAGAGACAGGATCCAACGAACCCATCGAGCCAGAGTAGTAGTGGTAACTGGTTTGTAAGGTTTGGTGTAAGATACCAACAGTTGTCCTCTGCTAAAAGCTCGAATGCTTGCAGTAACCTCCACGTATCGCGTAAGTGCGGAAACTACACATAAAGAGGGACCGTAGGAAAAAATGGATAAGATATAGATGTTGAATTCGTTTTGGTTCTACGAGACACCGTGAAGGTAACCCCTTCCGGTGAGATCGAGAACCCATCCACATCGAACGCTCGCACGTCCGAAACCCTTCGAAAGGATACCAAACATAAAAGTAATGTCAGCTTGGCCGACAACTGCCGTAGTGACAAATCTTTATTGTCTGGCCAATTCCGAAGGAAGTTAAGGACCACCTCTACGTCCCACATGTGACTATACTTAGGTTCAGGCGGTCTGGACAATTTGATGCCTCGCATTAGGCGACATACCAAAGGGTCCTGACCAACTGGAGAGCCACTTACTGTTACGTGTGCCGCTGAAATTGTGGAACGCGTCACATTGATGGAACGATAGGATTTTCCCTCCGTGAAGAGGTGTGACAAAAAATTTACCACCATGGTGTTAGGTGCTGTAAAGGGATCACAATTCCGTCCCAGACACCAACGTTTCCATGAATTCCACGCTGATAGGTAACTCCGTCGAGTGCCCGGTGCCCATGAATCCCATAGAAGGTCTTTAGCTGGTTGCGATAGTCCCTCGACGGACCAGGCTCCCCTGAAAGACTCCAGGCCACCAGCTCCAGACTCTCTTGTACCACTAGTGGATGTGGTTCCCCTTTCGGATCTGTCAGCAGAAAGGGAACCGATGGAAAAAGTAATGGATGATCCCGCGTGAGAGCCAATAATTCCGGAAACCATGCTTGACTCTTCCACAACGGTGTGATGAGAATCATCGACACCTTGGTTGCTCTGATGCGATGGAGCACTCTTGCTATCATTGAAAATGGTGGGAATGCGTATGCTCCCCTCGGAGGCCACTGTTGTAGAAAGGCGTCTACTGCCTCGCACTGAGGGTCCGGAAGCCAGCTGAAATACCTTGGTAACTGAGTGTTCGTTCGAGAGGCAAACAAATCCACGACCAACGGGCCCCTGAGGTCCCTCACCATTGCAAATACTGAAGTGTCCAGTCTCCAGTCGCTGCCGTTCAGTTCTCGTAAGTTGATGACTGGGCGGTAGTCTCCCGTCTTTTTCTTGACCACGAACATGTTGCTGAAGTAACCCTGGTCGTCTGGGGCAAGTTCCACCGCTCCCTTGACGAACAGGGTTCGTATCTCCGTGTCTATGAGGCGTCTCTGATTCTCTGACGCCCGGATAGGTGATGGTCGCCTGATCTGAACTGGCGTACGGGCAAATTCTATCACGTACCCTCGCACGGTCTGTAGGATCCATGCATCTGCGGATATTCGTTCCCATTCCTGCGGAAAAAGGGACAATCTGCCAGCAGTTATAGTTGAAGGACATAACGGAGGATAATTCATGCTCACCTGAGTTGTAACGTCCCCTTCCTCTGTTCCGAGTGCCCCTTGTACGCAAGGATCCCCTTGTGAAGTTGGCTCTTGCAGATGGGAAGAACTGTTGTGTAGCTTATGGGCGACTGGGGCCGGATGGCCAGAAACGGCTGGTGGCCCGACCCCTCTGCCGACCAGCCCTGCCAAAAACACCTCGAGTTGTCTGTGGGTTCCGAAAGACTTGTCTAATAGATGATTGTGCCTTATTCAGTGTAGTGAACAGGCCTACGTGCTTCTTCAGTTCTGCCATGAATGGTTCTCCAAAGAGCAGACCCTCCGCCAGGGGGCCTAACTCTTTCTTCCCCAGGTCCAACAGTTTGGAATCTATCCTCAATAAAGCCGCTTTACGGCGTTCTGCGCACATGGCGGCATTGGAGTTTCCTAGTAGGCAGATCGCTCGTTGTGCCCATTCTCTAATGTCGTGTGCCTCGAGGGCCGTCCCCTGGGTGAGGGCCACATCTGCGAGGTATAGGATCCTCGCTAAAGGACCTAGCATGTCCAGCATTTTGTCCTGGACCGCTTTCATGCCCTTCTCGACACCTTTCCGTGGGTCTCTGCCCGAGCGGGACATAAACACCCCCACTGTGGCATCGAACTCTGGGGTGAGGGCTATCTTGTCCAGGAGGACGGGGCGTGGGCACTCTGCTTTGAGCTTGGCCCGCACCTCCTTGTCCATTGGCTTCCTCAGCCAAAAATGTACAAAGTGAGTCAGATTGTCCGGCAGGTTCCATTCTGACGATCTGGGGTGGCGTATCTGGCGTGGATCAAACAAGGGGTTGCCAGCCCCATCCAGAAACACCCCATCTTCAAATGCCTCCGTACGCACTTTACGTGTGCCTTTGCCGCCTGAGCAGTGTGCCCGTTCGGGGCCATGGTCGCAGTCTCCGACCTCTTGAGGCATGTCCTGCCAGTCCTCCTCCTCCGAGGGGGAATCCTCTGCCCTCCATTCGTCCATGACTTCTAATGAAGGTGGAGATAGCGGCTCCTCATCCCCTGAGGAAAGGGGCTGTGGAGGGGAGCGTTCCGGGCGCCTAGACTGGCGGCTCCGCTTTCGCAACACCTTCCCCTCCCATCTCTGCAGGGTCGTGTTGGATCCCCTCCATTGTCGTTTGCACGGCCCAGCCTCCGCCTTGGACTCGGTGGGCTCTGTATCCTCATTTCTTGTCGGAGGCGTGGCATCTGCCCCCTCCGCCTGTGGTTGCGCCATCATTTTGGCTA